AAAAATTCCATTTTATACCTTTTTATACCAAAAATTCCATTTTATTCATATCTATATATATATGAACTTTTCCGTGTTCCTGACTACAATAATCAAATTCATATGATCAACCAGTCACGAGAGTTATCCAAAAAAAAATATGGTTTTTTTTTGAGAACTTTTATTAGAGGTTGGATAGTAAATTTTTTGTGTTACATTCTTTTTTATCTGTTCTGTTTTCACGATCCGGTTAGGGTCTTAAGTAACTACCCCAGTGGCACCGACAGACTTTCACTGATCGACATTTTTTTTAAAGTCATAAAACAGTACATTAGGATAAGATTTATAATTATAACGATACTTGTTATACACTAAAATTTTGCAAGGAATTTTTTTTACTAATGCGCAGAAGATGGTTACATAGACGAAATTTTGAGTTACGGCGGTTTTTTTTAGAAAATGGTAGTTTTTGTTTTGATTTCACGTTACACCTGATCTTAACCTGATCTTGTAATATAATTGGTCAATCGCTGTCGATCGGTGGATTTTCTTGACATATTGGTACAAACTCAAAAAGGAAATGTAACAAAGGTTGATTTCCTTTCTTGGGTTAAAATGTATGTTTTGATTTTTGATTTTAAAATACGAAATAATATAAATATGGTAATCAATATTTATTTATTTTTGGTTTTGTTCTAGTACTGCTGGTTTTTATCGTTGCACTTTGCAAATAGTATTAGCACTATTAGCACCTCCGTTTTGGTTAGAATAAATTAGAACTGGAAGTAAAGTCAACAAATACACCTTGCAACAACGAGGAAAGCAATATGCAGACGTACTTGTAACAACATCGCGCTTATTTTTTTGAAATATGCAACAACATCACGTTAACTTTTTTTGAATTTTGTATCAAAAGAAGGAAAAGTATTAGCTGATGTACCTTACAACGCACGGTAACATTTGTTTTGAATTTTAGATTAGAAGGAAGCTAAAGCACTTGTCACCGTTAACATTTTTGGGTTTGGATAAAAGGAATTTAAGTTTGTGAGTACTTTTGCTTGCTAAGTATGGGTTATCTAGCGTATCGCATGTCATAAGTTACGCTGCCCTGGAGGATGAACTACAATGATGTTCAAGTTGTAGGGACAAGAATGAACTACCTTGGTGTTCACATTGTAGGGATAAGGATGAACTACAATGAAGTTCAAGTTGTAGGGACGAGGGTGAACTACAACAGTCAAGTTGTAGGGACGAGGATGAACTACAATGATGTGCTAAGTTGTAGAGACGAGGATGAGCTACAATGGTGACCCAAGTTGTAGCGACGAGGATGAACTACGATGATGCTCTAAGTTGTAGCGACGAAACGGGTGTAAGGCAAATCTGCGGTTGTAATGATGATATCTTTAATACTTACGCTTTTTTTTTTTTTTAATTTATAGCTTTTCTTTTAAAAAAAAAAAAAAAAGAAATATTCCTGCTTTTTGTAAAGAATTTTTTAGAGGAAATCGGGTATGCTTGTTTTTAATTTGTTGAAACGAATTCTATTTGACTTCTTGAATATTATTCCGGATCAGGTGGAAAACCATTCATTAGCTACTCCCCGGAGTGTAGGTTAAAACATTGGCCGGAATTAAGCTTAATTTAGGCCGAATTACGATTAATTCGGGCCAAAAATTTAACCTACACCCCGGGCGTTATTTCGAAATAATACGGTAATGCACTTTGCAACAACAATCGGCTGATTTAGATTTTATTCCGATCAAGAAAGAGAAAAGGCTAAACATAAATGAATGTATTACATATCCTTTTAAGGTCACTTTTGGTATTGACGTTTTTGTCATGCGACCTAGGTATTATCTAGTTTATTTACAAAATATTCTCATTTTATTGTCTCTACTTATTTAATTTATAAAAATCGTGAATTACAAAGCTGGTAACTTACACTGATCATTTTGTGGTTATGCTAGGATTGACAATTAGAATCGTTCTTTTAATTACGTATTAATCAATTCCACATTCAGTGACGTTGTTACGAGTAAATTTAACATATAATAATATTATGAACGGATACAAGAAAATGTGTTAAGGCAACTTGCTAGAGGCGTAACGTGAATGACTTGGTAAATGAGTTATAAAACTCTAGATTTTATAAGAATTTTAATTATATTTATTATCTGGGGTTTTTTTTTTTATTACCAAAGATCTTGTTATTTTTCAACAACGAAAACTATATTTTTATACTTTTACATTCCTATAGCTATTAAAGAGGCTTCAAATTATCATCTCATATCCTTAACGGCGTATGATATATTTAAGGAAGGGTCCTTTACGGAAATATTACTTTTAATCGTAACAATGTAACAAATGAATTCTTCCACAGGGATCGCTTAACCTGTAGGTACGTAAATAAGAGCAGTTAATTATATTATAAAGATAACTTACAAATTGTTTTATATTACTCAACAAGTATTTATTATAAAAAAGAATGTGGCATATGCTAGCGCTAGTTTCCTAAATTACATTATTTCCCAATATCACTATCATATTCCTATATTACTTGATTAAAAAAAAAACTAACAGTTCGATAAAAAAAAATTTATAAATATAAATGTTATTGAACTAAATTATAAATATAAAGTATTGAATATAATTAAGAAGATAGGTTGTAAGGAAATGATAAATATCGATACAGTAGTTTTCTTTTTATTTTTTTTTCAGTTGTATTAGAATAAACTTTTAAACACCCAAAACAGACTTGACTACAGCTCTGGCTGCAATTTTCACTGCAGTTTCCGCCGCAGCCTTTGCAGCAGTCTTTGCAAGTGAAGAGGCCACACTCTTTAATTCGTCATTACGACTTTTAGGCTGATTGGTGTCAGGCAATCCTCGCTGTGAATTTTGTTGAAAATTTCGGTTGTCAGGTTGAACCTGATTCGTTAATTGAGGTGTTGCTACGGAATAAGGGTAAGTGTTCGAATAAGCCACTCCCGGTTGAATGGGTTGATTTGTGTATATTGGGTTGATTATGCTGTTGTCGGTAAGGTAAATTACTGATACTGAATTTGTTGTCTGAGGTGTTGTCACAGGGTAAGCGGAAGTGTCAGAATAAGCAACTTTTGGTGTATCCGAATAAGCAACTTTTGATGTATCCGAATAAGCAACTGTTGATGTATCCAAATAAGCAACTTTTGATGTATCTGAATAAGCAAATGTTGATGCAACTTTTGATGTTTTTGATGTATCCGAATAAGAAACTCTTGATGTATCCGAATAAGAGCCTCTTGATTTAATGGGTTGCTTTGGTGCTGTGTATGCTGAGCTGGTCATACTGTCATCATAGTTGGCCATGCCGTCATCATAGTTGACCATACCATTATCATAGTTGATCATACTATTATCATTAGAATAAGCCATTGATTTTTTCTTTTTGGTAACAGGAGAAGCCACAAATGAAGGTGATGGTGGAATACTATTTTTCCAAAGCTTTCCTTTGCATAATGCTCCGCACCATTCTACTCTTTGGCCATTTTCCAGCATTTTCGGATAAGTTTGACATACTGAGCATGCTTCTACATAGTTAAATTCCACCGCATTTTTACGACAACTTCGTGAACAGTATTCCGAGGGTTGGTTCGTCTTTTTATCTATATAGACTGGTCTAGGACATACTAAACACATACCACTATTGTACATATTTTCACAGTTTGAGTGTGTGAAAATACGTACTTACATACGTACGAATACATTTCAATCATCATATATATATATATACACTTTGTTTTGGGTGAACTGGTTTGACTGCGCACAAAATCAAAACATTCTTCCTTTGTGGCATGTTTCGTGTTACATTTAATTCGTGCCATTAAATTGAAATAATATATATAGTAATTGGAATTATTAATACTGCATTGATGACCATGCAGCCATGACATAAAATGGAAAATATACAAAGGTTCGTACACAATTATTTATGGAATTGTTTCTTGACATTATCGTTATGTATTAAATTAAATAACCTTTATATAGGGGCTACATGATTTATACCATGGATTTATGCATTAATATGTAATTAATTTCTTTTGCTCGCAAAATTCGGTTAAATCTATTTAACTTGAAACAAATTAAATAAACATAATTGTTTTTTTTTAATTTATATAATAACATAAAGATTATATCATATACACATTTAGTACACAATTGTCAAAAAAAATTTTTGAATCATAATATCACGAAATAATTGGATAGATATATACTTATATTAACTATTAATCCCCCACATCTCTTTAAAATCTTTGATATTAATTGTTTTTCCAGTTTTTCTTGAATGCTCTGCCGCAAACACAAACAAATGCGAATCTAAAGATTATTTAATTAAAAATTTCAAATCATTATATGAAACAGATGGGTTTACAACCGTGAAGCCCAGACACCTGATACCATAATTTCAATGAACTGGAACTTCTGACATATCTGAAATATAATGATTCAAAGTCCTGACAGTTTAAGGCCCTTAAGATTTTTTTTCTTGTAGCTAACTATTGCTGATGCCTAATTAGGTTGTATGTTTTAAAATTAAAGCTATTATATCTGGTATTATCTGGTACTTAAACATGTTTTATTATTAAATTTTTTGAGTATTGGGTATTAAATTATCAGGATTTTGAATATTAAAATTTGGTAATATCAAGATTTCATATATATATTATATATGTTTTTTTTAAAAAAATCTTGGTAAGCTATAAGCTCTTTATGTCTCTACTATTAGAATCTTGAATTATCAAACCACATATTTGTCAAGATTACGGTATCAGGCTTTTAGTGTAATTACATATGGATGACTTACCAAAAGTTTGTTGAACACCAGATTTTATACGATTGCTTATATCTTTTAAATCAAATAATGATTCGCCAATAGAATAAATAAATGATCGCATTAAAGCTAAATCACCACCACCTATGAAAAAATTATAAATTTATTAACGTTAATAAATGTTGATATATCGTGCCACTTGTGTTCAACACCAAAAGTCATTTTATCATTTGCAAAAATTTAGTATAAACTATCCCTTGTCTTTACCAAAACCAACCCTAATATCATTAAATTAGACGTTGATATTATGTATATAATTTTTATACTGGTGTTAAACGCAATGGTATAACAGATAATTTTCGTAAAATTTTATCATTATCAATAAAAGCTATTATATTTACCATGGCCACTCATATCTTTAACACCAAGAATGTCAGAAGGTTTTAACATTTCTTTTTTTCTTGTCAAAAAATTGTAATAAATAATTGTATTAATTCCGTCACATTCAATTTCTCCTAAAGTACCAAAAATTCTTAAATACAGTAATATAAATTAATAATATGATTTAAAAATAAATCTTTACAAGAATAAAATACTTACTTTGTCTTTATAATATTCAAAATTATTTTGATAAAATTAATATTAGTAGAATTTAATAAATCTAAAATTAATATATAAATTAATATATACCTTTCTTTTACAAACGGTTTCAGTAAATGCTATCATGGTAATATTTGCAGTTGAACCATTGGCAAATTCTAAATTGACTACCTTTAGTTGTAAATATAAGATTAATAACAATTATACAAATAAAACATAAATATTATATTTTTAAAAAAGCAATTTTAATATACTTGATTATCCGCAACATCATTATCACATTCATAAACACATCTTCCATAAGGACCATTTTTTAATGCATTAGTTAAATTTTCAATATCTGTTTAAAAGTTTTTATTAGGTATAAAATTTTCAAGAATAATAAACAAATTGATAACTAAAATTATACAAACCAATAATATCAGTAACAACACTAATAGGCCAAGATACTACTCCTTTTTTATAACCATTATCAATATAAATTTTTTTTGCGGAATAAGGACAGGTTGGTTCAATTTTGCATTCATAACAATGTCTAAAAATATTATCAGCTCTTATTAAAACTGCAAATATATAAAATATATATAGAATTACATGTAAAAATTAAATCTTACTTTGCGTCACCAGCTTCTTTTGGTTTATTTTTTGAATTGAAATATACCAAATTACCAAATGAACCAATTTTCTATAAATTAAAAAAATTAATCGTTACTATGACTTATTATATAAAATATATATAATATATATAATATTATTTAATATAGTAATATAATAATGCAAATATACCACACATGGAGAATCGTTCCAATAAGACATTAGATCTAAACAATAAGGTAATGGATTAGTATATATTAATTTAAAATATAATTAGGTAATTAAAATATTTAAAAAAACTAAGTATATAATTAACAACCCTCTAGCATAATCACCCAAATAATTTACATAAAGATATAAATGTTACTCAGCATTATAACGAACTTTCAAGTGATTTTGTTATGAAAATTTTTATTATATTAAATTATATATATTTAAACTCCATACGTAAATGATTTTGATGATTTATACTAGAATAGTGTTAATTAACTAATATGTATTGAAATTCGAATCTTTGTGTGTATATTATACTATACCTATATCGTGACAGCACTTTATAATAATAGAATTAATAATTTAATAAATCTATAAATAATATACTTCATGAATATATATATATATTAACCTTTGTCATTAAAGAAAAGCAAGTCTCTTCTTCTTTTCTCCAATTACCTCTTACATACTAAATAATTTAGATTGAAATAATGTTAGTTAAAGGAAATTATATAAACATAAGATTTATGCATAATAGATGTTTATTTACCGAGTGAGCAAAATGCCAAAATCCAACCGGCTCCATATGTTGAATATTAACAATGTTTCCAAGGTAACCGGCATCAATAATTGATTTAATAAGAATGTTATGTGCTGTATATCTTAAAACATGTCCTAAAAGAAGTTTTAGTTTAGTTTTAGTTATAATTTAATACATTTTATAAAATGGACATATATGGTTAAGTCAATAGAAATCAAGTAAAGTTTTTTAATAAATTTTTTTTAAAGCTTCAAATAAAAGTAATCAAATTTCAATTAAATTTAATAAAAAATTTTTTAAATAAATTCTACAACTTTATTGAATTTATTTAAAAAAATTTTATTATTTGATTTTTTGAAGTTTTAAAAAAAATTGCTTATATAATTATAGAATAAACATTGTTTACACACCTACTGCAAAAATGATCTAATAAAAAAGAATTTTGATTATTACTTGAATAAAATAAATCACAATCATGCAATAATACCTCATTCTTCATAACAGCTTCAGTAATCTTCTTACAACCTTCAATAGTAATAGCCATTGGTTTTTCTAGTAAAATGTTATATTTCTTATTTGCAAATGCAACAGCCGGTTCGACATGAAGTTCATCTAAAGTTGCAATTACAACTGCATCACTTAGTTTTGGACATTTGATCATCTTTTAAAGCGAGTCATACATTTAAATACATATATTTTTATCAGATTATTAAGAACAATTCGAATGTAAGGGATTTAATAAAGATCATACTTCTTTCCAATCTGTAAACACATTTTCTTCAGGGATATTATATAACTAAAAATCGTAATAAATCGAAATCGAATGCACAGAGATAACAGGAATAAAATGATAAAGTGTAAATTTTTTTTTTTAAAAAAAAAGCTATCGCAAATTTTTATTTTTTTAAATAAATTAAGGAACCTTAGCCATTTTATTCCTTCGAAAATCTACAGGTTCAGCGACAGCGACTACTTTGGCCCATTGCGGTTCAATTTTAGTGTAATATGCATAACCCGAACCTCTATAATCAATACACATGAAAACATAGTCAATTACACCAAAAATGATATTAATAAATGGATCAACTAACAATTTTGCGAGGATTTTCTTTTTCTGAACAATAAAATTAAAATAGACCTTTGCCCAGCGCCAACAATAGAAATGGTAATAGGTCTAGGAGGTGGAGGAGGAGTTACCTGCTTTGATTTTAATAAACTAACGATAGGAACCGGGTGAGCTATTTTATCGGTAAACGCAGGCATCCAAGACATTTTAAGGACTAATAAAATGAAAGAGTGATACAAATGGATAAGAATTCTTGAATTAAAAAAACTTGGGGGATTTTATCGATTTCGTTGTCACCCAAAAATGCAACCTGTTACACGAAGATAGACTTCCCTACACGGATCTGTGAACTATTGACGGTTGACATTGGTGAAACTTATGCATATCGTAAATGTGTACAAGAGGTCAAAGTTAGGATCTAGAGAGGGATGGTTAACGGTTGACATTGGTGAAACTTATGCATATCGTAAATGTGTACAAGAGGTCAAAGTTAGGATCTAGAGAGGGATGATTCACCTAGTAAAATTGTTCAACGAAACCTTTTTGTTATAGCACAAAAGGTGGTTTCTTGTGCTAATTTTTGAGCTATGCAAGACGAACGTTGTCCTGATCGTGTTACGTTGCACCTAATCTTGAAATCTGATTCGTAGTTCAGGAGATCTGCACCACCAACCTTGTACTGTACACATTTACGATATGCGAAACTTATTTATCAAGATTACCCGATTTAGAATTATGGTTAGCCTGATTTAAGAATAATTTAAAATAATCGGGGAAATAGCTCATTTGAACAATTTATTTAACAATTTATTGTTTGTAAATGAATTATAGGTATAGGTTGTACACGCCGCCCAAACACTAAATCCTCAAAATCTATTCAAAATCTATTCAAATTACATATGGGCGAAAATCTCCAGTTGAAACACAGTAATCATTAAAAATTAGGCGATTAGTTTACAATCAGGTACATACGTACCAAATTTATAAGTAATTGGGTCACAATTAGGTACGCACAAAATTTTATAAACATTAGATTACAATCAGGTACAAATTTATGAGTAAAATTCATAAGCGATTCATAAGCAATTCATTATCGGGCTTGCAATCTCTGATCAAAAAATCACTTTTATTCTCACATAAATGATTGGCTCAGATTTTATTTAACCTAATCATACACATTAAATCATCACGAAATTGCCTATATGATAAATCCCAAACATTAACTGACCGATACGAAAGTATTGGGGCAGCATTTTGTCTCGAATCGGACACGGAGTATAAATTAATTGATCGAATAATTGTATTATTATGATTTATTGTATGATCAATATGGCATATGATTCAAAGGCACAATTACGTAGTTTTTTTCGATTTGTAAACGATAGAGTCTATCGTAGAGGTTACGTATTTGTGGAGTATATTTCGATTTGTAAGCGTAGAGCTTATCAATACGGTTATGTAGTTGGATAGTCTTTTTTTTGATCTGGTGATCGTTAGAGTTAGTTATAGTAACGACGTAATTACATAATTTTTGATTTATAATCGTTAGGGCATGTTTAAAGGGGACGGGGTTTTCCAGACAAGATAATTTCTGTTTTTTCTGCTAACCCGACTTTGTCTGGTTTTTTTCGTCCCGCCTTCTCCCCCTGATGTGGCCTAATGAGCAAGTTTGAGGAGTCACGAAAGAACCATTACCTTGTACGCGTAGAATGATGGTTGAAGTTTTGAATGGCTGTCGAGACGGCAGTCATGAAAATTATCGCTTGTGTATGCATTATGCTCAGTAGGTATTGTTGATGGAAAGAGCGTAATAAATTAGCCTGTCGAACGACAGTCAAAACTTAATTTTTTAGTGGTGGCCTGTCGAGACGACAGTCACAAAATATTATCAATTTGGTTCACAATGCGTTCGGATTTGGCCTATCGGACGACAGTCAATCGTAGAACTATTGGTAGGTGGTCTGTCGGGACGACAGTCACAAAAAATTATCGTTTGCGAAACACATTACGCTCGGATAGGTATCATTTTGATGATTTAGAGCGTAAAATAGAAAGAAATTTTCGAAAGGGCCTGTCGGGACGACAGTCAAAAACTTGGTCCACAATTAAGAGGAATTTATTAACACCTTTTATCGATGCTCTCAAAATCTGCATCATGGTTTGGTATTTGCGCGAAGCAGCATAGACAGAATACCCGTAATTGTATTTCATTGTATTTACTGTTATAAACACCTCCTCGATGAGGGACAAAATAGTAAAATTGTCTCAAATCACAAACCTAAATGCCAAACCTATAAAATGGTGAAGTTCAATTTCTTGTTCTATTGATAAAAATTATATCCTATTCTAATTTCTATTGTTGTTGTTCTATTTATTATTGCTATATGAATATCTAATTATAATCTTGGCAATTTTTTGTTCTATTGACAAAAATTTTATTCTATTCTAAATTCTATTGCTCTATTCTATTGTTCTATTCATCTGTTGCTGCCAACACAGGTTATGCCATTTCAGTAGGAGTTTCTTAATTCCGTTTACCGAAAAAAAAGCAATTACGTCACTCGGAAATTTTGTACACTGTTTTAACGAGATTAATTTCACCAATCTCACCGATTCGATAAAATGAATTTCACCAGTATTTTTAGGTCAAAATTGTCTATACCTATATTGTAACTTCTATAGAAGTGAACATGCCCAGGATCGCCAACATAATTTCACTATTACGTTGGTCGATAACTTGGCAGTGATTACGCCATCAGCCAATTAATAAAGTTATTTGGCAGCTTACGTAATCGCTGACAATAACTCGAGTCATTTAGAAAGCACAATCTTCGTAAACCACCGAATAATATATAGTGATTGGATGCGAAGCAGCCAGATAATATATCGTTATTGGATGTGAAGCAGCCAACAATATTTTATTTATATCTATTTATAATGAATCACGCGTTGATGTAACGTAACACGATCAGGAAGAAATTCAAAACAAAACGGGTTAAAAACATCGCCCGCTTGCACCAATAAAAAAAATTTTTAAACCGATTTTGATATAAAATTTATTAATTTCTAATTATAAAGAATATTTTGGTCATTACATTGATGTGCTACCCTAAGATACCATTGCTAATCGGAGTATTTGAAGATTTACCCGCGTAATGCTATATTGGTCCTATTCATGATCTTATTTCATAATAAAAACTTTAACTAGAACTGACTGAAGGTTGCAATGAAATGAGCTTAAAATAGCATCGTACATTTTTTTTTTTTTTAATAATTCGCGTCCGATTAAACCCTGTTTAAAATATTATCGGATAGGCAGAATTAGTGACACCCAAGATAATCTACATATTAAATTCTGGGGTCACACATATTCGTGTAACATTGGTTCTAGACTTTTAACGTTAGTGTAATTTTAGCATTAGTGTAATTAGATGATAGAATAATGTATTATGTATTTTCATTGAATAATTAATCGTTTACACTTGTTTACACGCTAGTAAGACTCTTAAAATTTAACTTGTACAAAGTGAGCTTATTTTAATGACTAGGATGTTATAATTTGTGTTAATAATAGATCACAATCTCTTGATTTTAAACATGTACGCACTATTATTAATTGTGTGTTACATATTTGCTATTAATGTTATCAATGGACATGTTATCAATGGCATGTGATCAAAAAAATCTTAATAACTCGATTTTATTATGTTAATTTAATTCATAAAGTAAATATATTAACACTCAATTTTGTATAATCATGTATCTTTTTTATAATTTTTTGAACTTTATGAAAGTGTAAACATGCCTGGACGTTCTTGGATTTGGATAAAACAAGACTTGGACATCAAAAAATGTACAACTCTGAATCGTTACCACATGTATGCCGAATATAGTTAAGTTACAATCCATAATTCAGCTTCAGTCTAATGTAAATAAGGGCTTAAATATATATTGGTCATACGTAGATTACGCGTTTTATTCTTATATTATCTTATATTATCTAATTTATAAATCGGATATATGAAACAAAATTTTGTCCTTAATTTTAACCCCATTTATTGTATTTATTGTATTTGGACATGAATAAATATTTTCCAATCGATAGAAATGGCATTTTTTGTCGTGCTAATTTTGTCCTCGGGGATTTCAATATAAAAATAACCATTTTGCATAAGTCTATGTGACAATTCTGTGTGCATGTATGTGTGACAGGTTAAGCCACTGATGTCAATTTACCTGCCTAACCTTTGCCCTAGCGTCGATCCTAAAAACAGTATACCCGACTGATTAACGTTAACGTTAATAAACTTTAATAAAGTTAATAAGCTTAGTTATTGGCTATTGTGTAATTATTACGATATTTTAATAAAGGAAATGTATAATATACGATCCGTTTCTTTGTTTCTTTTTTGCTTGAGTAGGGTTATTTTTTTTTGCCTCTACTATTGCTCATATACGAAGGTGCCATTTATCGTTATATGTACCTAAAAGTCTATTGCTAATTAAAATTTACTTAATATAGAAAGCGACACCGCAAACAATATGCAGATAAGCCTTCAATATATATATATATATATTATTATTATTATTATTATTATTATTATTATTATTATTAAGGCCAATGTCAACGGCGGCTAATGCCTTTATTTGTGTTTTTAGTTAATACATTACATATTACTTGTACAGGGTAAGCATACAACTAGTCACATGTGTAACTTTTGATTACCTATTTAAGTAGTCCACCTGAAGGTTCTATACTAACTGTCATACCTATAATCTACTAGGAGATTATCTAATAAACATTCTGATCCTTATACTGCATCTAAACAATCAGTCATCTTAGTTCTTATACAACTAAGTGTTATCTAACCTAACATTAAATCTTTCTTTTTGTATGTTTATCAAATCATTACCTAATTTCAGAGTACATTACCTAACTGTAAGGTTTAGGAAGTCTTCTTGTTAACTAACCTACCTATTCTATGAATCATTAATAGAAAGGACTTGTTTTTGCAAAATTCATTTATATCTCAGTAATTATTTTATGACACATCTTTAGTATTTTAATTTACTTCTGTTTTATTTTTAAACTTTCAATCTAGATAGTTCAGAAAAACTGTAATATGTCTCTGGTATATGTATTGAGTCTAACTTGATATTTTTTTTTTTAATTTGATCTAATAGACTGGTTGATAGTACATCTTAT